TCCTATGTAGTTCATAGGCCATCTCATTGTGTGCCCATACCACCTAAGTCTGTTTACCATTATCTTAGTCTTAATGGGCTGGGCACTACCTTTAAACTACTTAGTATTCTTGTACTGCGCACCTTATCCTTTCATAAATTATAAATGATTCGAAGGTTAACACAAAATTGTCTACAATAAATCAGAAGATATAGGTATGCCAACCAAACATGATAGAATATATTTCAGGATTAAAATCCTAATTTTGAAATTTAAATTAAAAGTTGTAAAAATTAACACATTGAACGCTAACCATATATATTATTTCCTTCCCATTTTTAACACAATGCTTATATTGCTTAGCTAGAGACAATGTGTTATTTTTTTTATAAAAATTTAAATCATTTTTTTTTGAGCGGAATTTTTCAAATTTAAAAATCTGATTTTACCCGGGAATGTTTTCCATCATGTTTGGAATACCCTTATACCCTATGAATTTATCAAATTATTTTATGCCAAATTTAATTTAATATTAGTTTTTCCATATTTTTTTTTATTTATAAATTGTAAATGACTCAAAGGTACAATTTTCAATGACATATATAATACCTAGACTTCTTTCTTTCTTTCTTTCTTTCTTTCTTTTTTTCTTTCTTTCCTTCTTTCTTTCTTTTTCATTAAAATGCATTTTTAAGCGTCGTTAAAAGCAAATCAGCTGGACACGCCATTTTGGTAACACGTATAGTAATTAATCTCATGTTAAAAACTAGTATTGAATTGATAACTTGCTTCCTTATTATCTCAACGATCCGGTATTTCTTTAATAAAGTTTGCATCGGATATAGGAATAAATTAGGCTCTCGTTTAAAATTTTAATAATGATTAGTGTAACCAAGATGGCGTCTCCAGCTGATTTGCATCGATGTACACTTTTAATGAATAATTCGTCAGTCTAGGTATTATATATGTCATTGACAATTTTATAAGATAGGTAATCTAAAGATGTTGATATACATTTCCGGTAAAATCAGATTTTTAATTTTAAAAAAAAACGCGCTTAAATTTAAAATGTTAAAAATTACATTGCCGCTAACGTAGTAAAATGAAGTTTTAAGCGTCCAAATCATCTGGATGCCATTTTTGTTTCCCGTATAATAACATAAAAAAATGAGACCCATTTTAAAAGTTTTAATTACATTTTAATGTAGATTTATTTACGGGAAGTTAAAATGACATTCATCAGCTGATTTATATTGTTACCACACAATTAAAATGAATGAATCGAATCTTCAACCTAGGTAGTATGATAGGGCACACAAATTGAGCGCTTCAAGTTGCAAGCGCAAATAATGCATTTCAAATGGCCTCGTTCAAATTGGTAAAATTACCGTTTGGCGTTAGCAACAAATTTTAAAAAACGCAGATAGGTTTGCTTTTTCATCACTTTTTTTTATTCTTCGCTTTGTAATATATATAAAAACGTAATATAAATAACTTACTTATATCCTAAAAAAAGGGAATATTTAGAAATTAAAGAAATAAGAAGGCAGACGATAATAAAATTTTCAAAGACATATCCTTTTTTTTTTATAGAACTTATTTAAAATTTTGAATCGACGATATAAATAAAAAATGGCAACCTCAATTTAAACAAGGAATGCGGACGCGTTACCTTTTTTTTTATATAAAAATTACGGCAAAACGTAAACGCTCAATTTGTGTGCACTTTTATACGTTATTGCATCACAATTATAATCTAACAGTAAGGATCTTATAGTTTTATTTCTTGTAACACAGCACGCATAGGCACATGCGTATTTAGAGCGCGGGCATTCGCCTTCTCCATATTTATCGGAACCTTTCAATTTTTTTTTTCCAGAAAAAAAAAGAAGTTTTTTTGGGTAAAATAACGTTCTGCGCAATCCTTGATCTGTAAATGTGGCAATCTTGAAATATGAATAGATATAGTTCGTTACCTTTATCGTTACATTCTGAAAAGATTAACTCGTTACCTTTTCTTTTTATAAATGTAACGAGTTACATTTTTACACTCTCCCCCTAATCACTTCTAATTTAATTACCAAATTCTTGATTTTAGGGGAGGGGGGGGGGAATTACAAAAATTATTTTTTTTAAATTTTCCGCTCCTCCCACCTCCCCGTAGGTTATGTCAAATTATTCATTTTCAATTTTTCCCTCATTAAAAAAATAATAAAGATCTAGTGTATTCTTTTTTCTCAATAAAAAAAAGGATATAGTTGCCCTTTCTTTAAAACATTCGTTCCTGATTAAGGAACATATTTTCCCTTAAATTACCTATCCTCTCTCCTCTCTTTTTTGTTCTCCTATCCTTTCTTTTCCGATCTCCTTTCCTTTCTTTCCCCTTCTCCTATCCTTTCTTTTCTGTTCTCCTTTCCTTTCTTTTCCTTTCCTATCTTTAACGTTGTCCTTTCCTTTCTTTTCCGTTCTCCTATCCTTTCTTTTCCCTTCTCCTATCCTCTCTTTTCCCTTCTCCTATCCTTTCTTTTCTGTTCTCCTTTCCTCTCTTTTCCGTTCTCCTTTTTTTTCTTTTCCCTTCTCCTTTCCTCTCTTTTCCGTTCTCCTATCCTTTCTTTTCTGTTCTCCCTTCCTTTCTTTTTCCGTTTATAAAACAAAATTTTTTTTAAAAATAAAAACAACAAAATCTGACCTCATAAAAATAGCACAAATATTATTATAGGAATAAATAAAAAATAAAATTAATAATTTTTATAATAAATAACTTAAATTATTTTTTTTTCTCTCGATAAATACAAATATAGCTAGAAGCTCTATGCTTGCTATGCTTTTACAACCGTGTTTTATTAATATAAAATATATAAATTAAATATATAACCTATTAAAAAAAATGAAAATATTAATAAATATGCATCTCATTCATGCATGTGACGTGATCGTGAATGAAATTGAGTAGGAAAGGAAGTTAGTATTACACAAACGTGAAAATATTTAACGAAAGAAAGAAGAGAAGACTGCAAAATTCATATATAATAATAATAAAAAATATAATATATTGTAAAAATCGATAATTATTTTTATATATGAAATTCAATAAATAAAATCTCTCAAAAATTATTAAAAAATTAATTTTTCAACTGCGAATTGAGTCACCACCCACCGCAAGGGAATTTTAAATGATTCATCAATTATTACCTTTTTTTAGAGGAAAAATATTTTCGAGCAAAATTCACACAAAACAAAAATAAGGGGTAGTATGGGTAATTTTTTGTAGAATTTGAGAAGATTGAGGGGATAAACATTTCAATTTAATTTAAAATCCGTCTCGACTTTAGAAGACACGCCAACCCAGATATCGATAATTTTTCTCGACATTACTTTCTCAGGTCCGGGTAGGTTTAAACCGGGGTTAAATGGATCTTCCTAAATACTTTAAATAGGGTTTAAAATTAAATTTTAAAGGAGAACGTAGTGGTTGATATCAGCCCTTACAAATGTAACAAACATTATTCATAAAAAGTATACCAATTTAGAGGTTTAAAAAAAAACAAGATGGTCGAAATTGGTAATACATATTAAGGGAACCAATTAAAAATAAGAAACATTTTTTGGATCAGTTGTATCTACTCGAAAAAAAAACAAATTTATTTAAGAAAAAAGTTTTTTTTTTTCGAAATTAAAAGGCATGTTTCGGGTTTCAAATTATAGTCATAATCACGTGGATGGTTTCAAATTATAGTCATAATCACGTGGATGGTTTCAAATTATAGTCATAATCACGTGGATGGTTTCAAATTATAGTCATAATCACGTGGATTACGGTTTTACGAAAGTTCTTGTTATAGCGTATCACTGGGATATGAAATAGGCATTTTTCGGGTTTCAAATAGTCATAATCACGTGGGTTACAGTTTTAGGAAAGCCCTGGTTATAGCGTATCACTTGGGACGCGAAATAATTTCATTATTACGTCTTTCGAATTAAATAATAATTATATATTTGGTATTTAAGTGGTGAAAATAAAAAGTTCCACGAGGAACATAATAACTTGGCGATGCGCGATTATATAAATAATTACATAATATTTACCGAATTAAATTGGATAGAATTATATCGAATAATTGTGTTTTTTAAATTTTGTATTATTTGTTAATTTCCGATTAATATTGCTAACAAATTGAGCATTTCAAACGCTACGTTGCAAGCGCCAATAATGTCTTACAAATGGCCTCACGCAAATTGGTAAAATTACCGTTTGGCGTTAGCAACCATTTTAAAAATTCGGAATGGCCTCACGCAAATTGGTAAAATTATTGTTTGGGGTATGCTTTTTCATTACCATTTTTTCATTCTTCGCTTCGAAATATTATATAAAAATGTAGTATAATAAATAACTTACTTTATAATCCTAAAAATGGGAATATTTAGAAATTTAAAGAAACAAAGAAAGCAGACGATAATATAATTTACAAAAGACAAATCCTATTTTTTATTTAGAAATTTTGAATCGACGGATATTAATAAAAAAATACAACCTCAATTTAGACAAGGAACGCGGCGTTACGTTTTTTATTAATTTAGAAATAACGGCAACATGTAAACGCTCAATTTGTGCGCACTATAATACCTTCTTTACACAATCATTAAACTTGGCAAAATTTTTATGACCCATTGCTTTATTCAAATTAAAATAATAATATTTAAAATATTTATATTGCCTCTTTTCCTAAAGAATCGTTAATTAATGTCAAACTCAAACTTAACTATATTTTCTTCAATTTTTTCGCGTAATTTCTTCATATTTTTTTATATTTTTTTTTTACGTTTAAAAATTTAAAATATTATGTAAACCGCACATATTTCTTTAAAAACAGTAAACACTGAAGATTTATTTATCGTAAACATATTTATTTTTTTGCGTAAATAAATAAATAAACAAATAAAAATCTAGTTAAAAGCGGTTATTCATGCGTTGCAAAAAAAAAAAACTCAAAAAATCGTTATAAATTATTTTTTAATTTCGCGCTAATAAAACGCTGATAAAAATCAGCGCCAAAAAATCATTGTTTTATTTTATCATATATAAAACATTCATCAAAAAATTTACAGTTTTTAGAAGGAATTTTGGGTTAAAGAATTTTAGGATTCCGGAATATAATTCTCACTTATTCACTGCTGATTGACATCGCGGGTAATTTATAAAAATTTGATCGTGATAATTTTATTTGGGGGGCAGGTCTGCCGGCCCGACCCGAAACACGTCCGGTCAGCCGTTAGAAATTGGCTCTGGGGGGGGGGTTAATAAAATAAACAAATCCGGACCGGGCCGCACCCTAAAAGTGTATAATATTTTTTTAAAAAAAAATTCAGACCTACTAAGGGCCCAATTTTTGAAAATAAAATAATTTAAGATTGTATTTATCAAATCATTTGGAAATTATAATACAATAATGAATTAAGATGTCCCAAACTGGCCTCGTGATAAATTTTTTTTTTAAAAAAAGGTTTCGGCGCTAATTAGCTGCTAAAATTTAAATTTTTTTTTAGCTCGACAGACTTAAGTTTTAAAAAAAAAACAACCAGGCTAAAGCTGTATATTTTTTTTTAAAAAAAAACCCTCGAGCCCAAAGCAAGGCTTTCAAATGCGAATAAGGTCTATAAAAGGTTAACTATAGGAGTTTCTCTTAAATAGGGAGGTTTTGATTGATTTCTAAATAAACCCGAGCCAACATTGCAAGGGTTGAAAATGCGTAAAATCTTTAGGTCTGGGTAGATTCTAAAAGGTTAACAGTCAGTAGCTTCTCTTAAAACAGGTAAATTTTGATTGATTCCTAAAATAAAAATATTAACCACCTTTTTTATTTGTTATTTATACAGCCTATTATTTTAAAATTCCTTTTCCTGGTTCTGCCAGATTTATATATATTTTTTCCTTTTAACACTCCCAGTTTGTTATTATTTTAAAAAATTTAATAATTTTTAAACTAAACAATCAAAAAAAATAGAGAAAAATTGGCACCTAAAAAATTATTATATATTTTTTCTATTCTCTAAATATTTATTTATTTTAGGAATAATTATAAATTCCTTTTTTGACAAAAAGCCAAAAAAGATATATTTAAAATTTGAAACTTAATCTAATCGATTATTTTTTAAAGGTATAAATTTTTTAATAATAACCCGCTAAAATCCAATATATGTAAAAATTAGAAAATATTCCGGAATTAGGAAAAAAGATATTCTGGAGAATCCCCAAGGGTCAAACTAAAGTAAATTTGACATTTGTTAACTAACAATAATTATTATGTATGAAAATTAAAATTTTTTTTTAGGCTCACGTTTATCGGTCCGCTAAATCATTTATTCGGACTCGCTCAGTTTTTATTCGCGTTTAGAAGTAAATATAAAATACTACAAAAATGACAATATTTTTCGCTTCTTGACAAATTCTGGCTGAGAGATGATCGAATCAAACCAAAACGAAATCGAGACCGAGAAGGAAGATTGGGATTTACCCGTCCTGCACATAACGAGAAGGGATTGGAAAGGTAATTAAATTTTCAAATTTGCCTATAAAACAAAACGTATTTTATTTTTGCCAATTCCTATAGAGGCATTTCCGGTTATTCCATTCGTTACTATAGAATGCGGATACTTGAAAAACCGATACTAATATAAAATAATTTACTGCGATACAAAAAAAAAGAAATAATGATATTTTTTTAAGATACTCATATGACTGTTCTCCCGGTAAGATTAGTGCTGTTAAACGGCTCTATTTGAATCGATTTTCTTAGAAACGACCATATTAAGATTTTAGCCAATATAATATTATGGAAGCCTGGAGGTTTTGTTCATGAGTGGCAGAAAGCTTTGGAACTCTTTTTGCCGAATCTCAAGGCTTACATAATATTATTATGAGTAAAAATTCGGTGAAAAAAATGATACTGTAAGAAGTAAGATATGTCCATTTTCTTTTTTCTGTCGGACCACATGATGTACGACTCTAGCTAACTACCGATTGGGCCAGAAATAAAAATCCTTATCAACGTTCTCACCTTGGGAGCGGGAACTTCTAATTCCTCGCCCTCTACCCCATTAACCCTATTATATTTCAACGCCTTACGTCACATACTTTTGGGTAGAAACGGCAACCTAGGATTGTGTTGTGATGACAGGGTGCTAATATCCTCTCCTAGATTATTATTTTAATACAATTATTTAAAATGTTCTAAACCCCCCCAAAAACATGACAGAATTGAATCCACCGCAGAAGATTCGAAGGGTAATCGGGGGCCTGTTAAAATTTTTGGGAGTCTTGACGTGCCTGTACTTTTTCATATGTTCTCTGGACTTCATGACATCCGCCTTTAGGCTATTGGGAGGTTATAATATATATATATTGATGTCATTTTATTTAAATAATACCATTATGCCTATTCCATAAGCGTAGCCATGGTAGCTCAAAAAATGATAGCACCGAAAACAGCCAGATTTTTGAAGGGCCCAAAACTTTTGAAATATTGGCGACTATCGTTAGGATAAATCGTAGAATTTTTGCGTTACGCGTAAAGTAAAATTTTACTGATTTAAAATCAGCCCTGCCTAAATGTATATTTGAATACAAAAGAAAAATATAATCCCAAAAATTGTTAAACCTTTTTAAACATGACTGGGCAAATGTAAACGAATTAAATCGATATAAACTTTTCATTTATATTTTCATTGAATGTTTCGTTTCTATCACCTTACGTCACAGCGAACAAGTAATATCGCGCCAAAGTTGTACGAAAAATTAAGAATAATCACTAGATTTTTAGAGGCAAAACCAACCAGATTCGCAGTCAGGAATTTAGGAGAGACCATTGGGAACTAATATATTTGGTAATACGGAGGGGGGGGGGGTATTTTGGGATTCCCCGTTGTTGTGATGGGTCTTCTGAAACCATTTTGAATTGATATAATTATTAAAGAGGTTTGTAACTTACATATTTAAATTTTTTTTTTTTTAAAAAAACACCACCATTTTGGCCAATTAATCTTATCACCGATTCAACATTTAAAATGATAATTTAAAAAAGATTTTAGAGATCAAAAATTATAAAATGGTGGGCATGGAATTTGAATATTCCATCCAACTTTTGGTAGGGGTTGCATATTTAAAAATAGATATTAATCTACTCACGGCTTAAGAACTGGTGGAGTCAGGGCGGTCTTTTAACGCCTTGGCGGGGTGGAGTACCTCTTGCTCACAAAACGGCAACGCGTGTACCTTAATTTCGTGCATATAATTCCTGGACGTCTTTTACTCTTTTATAATTTGTTGCTTTATCTCAGACAAAATTTGAACACGATCGTTTTTATTCATATTTTATCACAGCCAAAGCAGCTGGGAAGGTGTTCGCGGACAGTAGTTTCTTGAACAATCCCATAACCGCGCTCATGGTAGGAGTTCTGGTAGCGGCACTTTTGCATAGTTCGGCCATCGTTGTATCCGTTATAATCGCCATGGTGGCTAGTCAAAGTAAAAAAAATAAATATATAATTATTAGAATATTCACTACTTAGAAGGTTAAAATTCCGAGTCCAAACATTTATCTACAGAGACAGCCTCGCCCAAGTGTATTATAACTTGGCCCGAACACGTCCCGCGGCGTCCTGACCATACCCTTGATCCCTTATTTTTTTTGATCAGAGAATACTCGCTTCATATTTAGTTTAACGTAGACAATAGTAATAATGCGCAAAATCAGTTTTAAAATATAGATTAGGTAACCGGTCCAGTTCAGACCCACCCCCCTCCCCTAAAAAATGAAAGGCGCTCGTCTACATATAGATCGACTTTAGAAACCAAATAGAATTTGCCTATTATGGCTAAAAACCGAGCACGCCAAGCCCGGATTGATTTTGGCAGATAAAATAACACTACACCACTTAATTTTCTAAAGTCAGATCTAAATGCGGACAACAAATTTCTTGGGGAGGTCTTAACCGGTTTCTGCTTTGGCCTTCACTAGCAAACTATATTGCTCTTTAAGTAGATAGTAACAAATACCATGGCCTATATACCCCGCTGAATAGTAATAATTCTATTTGAAATACATTTGTATATTTGGATATTCAGTGATATGCAATTTAATATATGTGAACACTATACATGGCAATGTTAAATAAAAATTATTCCGCGCTTTAATAGAGTTTCCGGTTTTCTGGTTCCGGCGACAAACTGATTATAAAACATATATTATTTTATATTACGCATCTATGTAAAAGTATTGAAAGTGCGTACCGCAATACCTATTATAATGGGAGCCGACATAGGAACCGCCATAACTAACATAATAGTGTCGATCATAGGAAGCAAAGGAGGAGGCGGAACGAGTACGGACAAGAGACTCCAGTTTAAGCGGGCATTTGCCGCCGCCACCGTCCACGATATGTTCAATTGGCTAAGTGTCGTCGTGTTTTTACCGCTGGAGATTATGACCGGTATTCTATTATATTTCTTTTCATTCACACCCGTTACACTTTCCATTTTATTTTTAAAAAAAGGATTCCTATTCCACCTGTCAAGTTTTGCCGTCAATCATCTCAAGATAGAGCAAGGCAATTACACCCAGAAACAGTTTATAAAAAGGATTACCAAGCCATTCACAACTTTATTCGTTGAGGTATAACTATACCAAAATATTATTTTATTCCTCACTCTTCCCACGCCATAATAATTAATATTCAAATGACGATTTTGCTATCCCCGATAAAAACCTGACCTGTAAAACTCTAATGATTTGTCTTTTTTTAACCATTTATTTTAGCTGTTTTTGTTGTTTGCAATTATTCTATTTGATTTTGTTTAAAATTTTTATACATCATTTAATTTATTTTAGGTTGTGAGAGAGAGCCATGTTGTCCCAGTCTATCTATTACTCAATATCTCGAAAATCAAAATTTAAGAAAAAAAAAATATCTTCTAATAATTCGTAATAAGGAGAAAAAAAAATATATATTAAAGGAACGAAATTATAAATGATAAACGTGAGTCGAAAAGTCTTTACTTCTATACATTCTCTTTTTATTATGTCCATATTGGCTTGAAGATTATAGTGTTCTATGTCTAATTTCTCACCACATTCGAGTTTAAGAAATTTACAGGTCCCATTCATCACCAATATTTTCATTTTAAAAAAAGCCTTTTTTTTATCAGCCATTTTCGTCATTTCTCGTGGTGTTTTATCTCCTATATTCGCTGTTTTCCATTTATTATCAATTTTTCATATGCGCTATATCAGGCAAAAAAAGTGATTTTTTTATGGTAAGTATTTCGCGCATCACGTGGTCGAGTTCGGCCTCCTATATATCACCCCTACCCCAAGGATGGAACCACCAAGTTAGATTTTTAAAAAAAAACACGATCATTGCTGGGATTCGAACCCACGACCTTAGAATTGGTGAGCGACGCTTATTTAAAATTTTAAAAAATAGCAAAAAATAAATTGTCGGGCCCGTGGATCCGATTTTGCAGGAGGAGAAAAAAAAATGTATTCTAAGCAATGTCCAAAAAAAAATATAAGTTGTCCTATAAAGTTCGCACAATTTGGTCGTAGATTTTTTAGTAAAATTTCTTTCTCCCATTGTCGGTAACCCTTTCTTTCTTTCTTTCTTTCTTTCTTTCTTTCTTTCTTTCTTTCATTCTTTCTTTCATTATTTCTTTCTTTCAAATCCCATTCTCCTATAAAAAAAATTAGGGGGGAAGTAAAGAAGAATAGAACACTATAATTTATCGAACCTCTTGTTATATTCATTTTTTATTGTATTTTTTATTTTTTTTTGCCATAATATTTTAAGCTGCTTTATTTATTTTTAAAAAAAAAATGAAAAGTACTGCATTTGGACCTGATTTCTCATTGGTCCAAATTATATTTCTAAAAAAAAAAAAATTGCACTCTCCTTCCCCTTACACCACACTTCCGCTCGACATTTATTTTTGATTTTTAGGTCGCGGGCTTAGAATCTGTTCCTGCAGGACTTTTAATCTTTTTTAAAAAGGAAGAAAACTTATAAGCGGGGAGTTAATTTAATTTTTTTTTTCTAAAGTAGAAGAAGAATCGTTTATTTTGGTAAAGAAATAAAGGGAAGACTATTATAACTTATTAAATTCATACCCTAAATTCGTTCATTCAATAGATAAATATTGATTCCACCAGGGATCAAATAAAAGGAAATTTTTTTTTTAAACGATGACCATAACGGTTCAAAAGTTTAGTCAAGTGATACCTAGTTAAAAACGGCTAACTCTATATTTTAGCCAGAAAAAATATTGTCCAATCCTAGAGATTTCTTTGACGGATATTCAAACCTTTGTGCAGCAACCTATGATCTAAATCTTAAGACTCGCATGATATTTTTCCTAATAAAATATTGAGTTAGCCATTTTTTTAGAATAAGCCCGTTTAACGACACTTACAGTTACCCAAAAAGATAATTTATTATTTATTAAATTTATCCATTTTTTTTTATCAATTCAAAAAAAAAATGCCTATAGTTGGATGAAAAGGCTTTAAATGCTATAGCCAAAAGCCGTCCTGGTTCTGATAAATTAACTATTTTGAAACGATTTTGCTCGGATCCTGGGCGCTCCTATAACTTCGTCACGGCAACGACCTCCCTGACAGGATACCTCAAGCATAGATGTAAAGATTGTTATTATTTTTCTATGGCCTACGTCCTTCTTGAGCGATAATGTTGTTAAGATATACTCTAATTTCTGGAGAGTTTCAACTCTAAGAAAGGAAGAAAGAAAGAATAAAGCGAAAGGAAAACCCTTTTTTAAATAGTATTCGATAACTTATATTGTGGATTGAGAATTAGAATGTTCCATATCCACTTTTTCCTCAAAATTGACCTTTTTTTACATAAATCAATTTAAATCTGGAATATTTATAAGATAACTCAAATTAGATTCGATATAAGCAAGGTTAAACAAACTATAGAAAACTTAATTTTTTTCTTTTTAAAATTGCTCTCCCGATTGAAATTACAAAAAAAAAGTGGAGATAGAATATTCTAATATTCTCGGGTGGCGATATTATTGATATTATGATTATTTTAATTTTTTTAATAAAAAAATTTATTTCAATACAGGTCATTTCCTGTTGGCCAAAACGAACTTGAGCGACAACATAGCAGGAATTATATTGCTGATATTTTCTCTGACACTCCTGGGATGTTGTCTAGTGGGGATGGTCAAGATTTTGCATTCTATACTGAAAAGTTTTTTTTTATTTTTAAACTTAAATTTTTTTGATTCTTTATCAAAATTAAGTGTAATAATTTGTGGCGCGCTACTTTTTCGCGAGGATTGAAAGATGGATTCATCCGATTTCAGCTGAGACATGCCCACCTACTCCTAGCTCGGGCTGCCTTATTTTATTTTCCATGTTTCGCGCTTAAACCCCCCGAGTTGATAAAAAGATTTAAAATAGAAATTATTAACAATTCCTATCACATGACTCTTTCACTCATTTTTAAAATGTATTTCATTTTATTTTTTAATATAGCAAAATTATCGCTGTCAATCAGAAAGATAATAAACTATCGTCTGCCCGGCAAATTAGAATGCTTTACCGGCTATTTCGCCATAATGTTCGGGGCCTTTGTGACGTTCTTGATCCAAAGCAGCAGTATCTTCACCTCCACGTTGACGCCCTTAGTCGGAATTGGACTTGTCGCGTAAGCTTTTCCCCTTTTTAATGAAACATAATTTTTCTTTTGCTAGACCCTCCCCCCACCCCAAGATGATTAATATTTTAAAATTATTTTTGAATTCAAAGACAGCTCTTGCGCTATAGATTGAAATTAGCTAATTTTAGCCAATTTCTTGATTGACCCAGTTAGCTATTAGCTGGAAAATACAATACTGCAGCTAATTAACCATAAGCCGTTATTTTGTCATGAATTAGCTTTACGCCTAATTTATAGTAAACGCATACGAAATTAAATCGCTAGAAAAATCACGGCTGATTCGTCTTTCAACATATGTTTTTCACGCAATTTTGTCATTTTGCTCAGTATTGATAAATTATACCTCGTAGCGATAAATTTTGGATAGTTTGAGCCAATCGCGCTTACTATAAACGAAGCGTTATGTCGTGAAAATGTTACGGCTAATTTGCCGTAACCGTTTTCGAAATGGTTCGTAGCAAAAAGTTTTTAATCAAATATATATATAATTGAATATGGAATACAGGTTTTTAGAATTACCCAATGATATATTAATAATACCTAGACTGACGATGCATTCATTTACATCAATGAAAACAGCTGAGGAAGCCATTTTGATTACCCATATCATTATTAACGGAAAGCCAATTTATTCCTGTCTGATGCAAACTTTATTAAAGAATTGCCGGATCATCGAGATAATAAAGGAAGCAAGTTATCAATTTAATAATAGTTTTTAACACGAGATTATTTACTACACGGGTAAAATGGCGGGTCCAGCTGATTCGCATTCAACGACGCTTTCGAATACATTATTGTGAATGCACGTCAGTCTAGTTATTATTATATGTCATTAGAATTACCAATAGAATTATAGGGGGAAAAAATTTAATAATTTTCAGCTTATGGATATTTTATTTTAAAGCTGCTCATAATTCAAATTCATACACTTACATTCACAGCAGGGACTTTCATGGGCCTTAATTTTTTGACCAACCCTGGCTCAGGCCTGTGGTAAAAAGTTTTTAGACCCAGCCCCAGCCCGGCCTATATCTAATGTTAAAAAAAATTCTAGCCCATGATAAGTTTCAAAAAAATTTCCCGATATTTAATGTAAATAAACAATATTTATATATATTTAGGCAATCATTTTGTTTACAATACTGAAATTTATTAATATTAGAAGATAAAAAAGGCAATATTTTAAAAATCTAAATTTATATGTAAAATTTTAGGCCCAAACCCAATAAAAAAAATTTTAAAACCCCAGGCCCGGCCTTTGTCCGCTAGAAAATGGGCCGGGTATGGACCTGCGGGTCGGCTTGGTCCATGGAGGTCTCTGATTCACAGTGTGAATTCGCGGCAAATTATTTTTAAAATTTATCCTATCTTGTGCTAACTATGAATATAGGATGGAAACTGTGCATTTTTTAATTTAAAACTAATAATCTAAAACTGCGCATTTAAGTAAACAGCACACCCCTAATATCATTTTTCCCTGTTTGGCTTTACTTGTCCCTCTTTTCATCATAATAAACTTAAAGAGAAAGTTTAAAAAGATTAGGAAACAATTTTAGGATGATAGATTTTTTTAAAAAAAAGTCTAACTATAATGACATAGGAATTATCATATCAAATATATAGTATCAGCGGTTATTAACTCATTTTCCATATTGTAGATGAGTTTATAAAAAAAACTCGATCTTAAATTTATAAAAATCATATTCGAAAGATTTTAATTATTCCTCGCACATTTTTATCGGCTAAGCACTAAGCCGATATGGCTTTACCTATTGCCAGTTATAAATATATTTTAAGGATTTTTCCTAGAGGGACTAACCGAGACAAATCAGTTGATTTGTTGCTTGATCATCAAGGAAACCATGTATGGACTTAAACATTCACAAACTCTAGTTAGATCATGGTTAGGGACCAAATTGAGACATCATGTGACTTCACTTATATTTAAATATTATTAATAATCAAGAAGCACTTATATTAATCTGACTATAGACATTCTCCTATACTTTACATCTTCTTCAGTCGATTATTCGAATGTTCTAGAAGAATATAAGTACTAAAGAAATGATATATCGAAAAGTAGTCATTATTTTTTTTAAAAAAAGTGGATAGAGAATACTATAGGGATGTCTATGTAAAATTTTAAGTAAACTTAAAGCCGCTATATTTTGATTTAAAAAATAAATGGTGAAATTGGCATGATCTTTCATTTTGTATATGATAATTGATTTCACATAAAATCCTTTTTTTTATTATTATAGCCTAGAAAACGTTTACCCTTTAACCTTGGGAAGCAATATAGGTACCACAACAACCGGTCTTATAGCCAGTTTTACTGTCACGAACATAAACGATGACGACTCCTATTACTATAATTCTACTCATCCCCATTTCGAGGGTACTGGGAATGCCACCCTTCCTTATAACAGTCTCAAGGCTTCGGTGCAGATAGCTCTCATCCACACTTTCTACAACATCTTGGGAGTCCTGGTTTGGTACCCCATTCCTTTCATGAGGTGGCCTCTATTCGTTGCCAAATTTCTGGGCGAGATCACTTACAAGTACGAATGGTTCAGCCTGATGTACCTCGTATTATTTTACTTTTTCCTTCCCCTCATCATATTTTCCTTGAGTGCCTTGGGGGGTTTAAAACTTTTACTAGGTGTGTTCATAGTTCCCTTCGTAATCATATTGCTGAGCGTTCTGATCATCAACAAGCTCCAACAAAAAAGTCCTAAATGTTTGCCACCCGTGCTCAGGACATGGGATTTTTTGCCAGAATGCTTACGATCCTTGAAACCAATCGATTCTCTTATTACGACGTTTACTTCACTATTCAAAGGACGGTTCAAGAGGAAAAAGGATAGCAATCTATCCCCCTCGACCTCTTATGAGAACCCTACAAAATCGAAAACCGTTTTCTCCAGGCTTAAGGACCGCGCGGGATTCTTTGGCAAGACGCGTGCAACTAAAACTAATCATGATCTTCCTTACGGCGAGAGCGGTTTACCCACAGAGACCCAAACCACGCCGGCCGTGGGGAACAGTAGTTCGACCAGGCTTATATCCAATGGAGTCGTTTTAAAAGATGTATCGAATTCCCCGAATTCCTTCAAATTTAAAACTTGGCACCAAAACAAGGGTTCTATAACCGATAGCGGAATTTTGGTAGACCACAAGGGTAACAACAGTCTACATAACTACAACCAAAACGGAAACGATGACGAAAAAAATAAATATGATGAGAGTGAATGTAAAAACGAATTCATTGTCAAGGATGATTCATCGTCCGAAGACGATACTGGTGCTAACACGATTACAGTATTGAAGCAAATCACCCCAAATAATTTCTCTACAGTTACCACGATGCATAATAATTGAAAAGCAAATTTTTAGTTTTACAACTTCGACATTGATATTCATTTGTATTTACAATGAAAACATATTTATTTCCTTATAATTAATATTTTCCAATTAATCAAGGTTTATTTTTCCCCCCTTCCATTTATTTTAATATTGAATATTATTTTATATCGCGGGTATATATGTTTAGAATTCTATTATAAAAGTTATCATTGTAAAAATAGATTATAAACCATAATAAAAAAAATATGTAAAAATTTTTGTATATAATTTTTTAGATAAAATTTCTCAATAAAAATATATAAAAAAGGTGTAGTTTTATTTTATATTGACAAAATTTATATTTTAGCGAAATAGTATGTATATATTTTTATATAATACATTTTTTTATAGAAGAAATGCATGATTTTGTTCATCAGAGTTAGAAAATATTAGCAAATCAACTCTAAATGATGGGTAAAAGTTTCATGATATATATAAAAGTTGTATTTGGAATGCTTGGTCTTAAAAATAATCTCTTAAAAAAATATATATATTTCTCGATAAAAAAAATATTACTTATCAAAAAAAAATTGTATAAAAAGAATACAAGATTATTAAAAAAATGAGCATTTGATTGTGGCATAACAGATGACAAACATCGAAATAGATCTGATGCAGTAGTAAGCCAAATCGATGTTGGGAAGAGCGAAAGAGATCATAAAGGGGTCTATGGTATTTTGGTAACCGCCGTATTGATTGTAGGCCATAGAAGATTCTAATTTAAATTATAAAAATATTAATTATATTAAATTTTTGCTGCAAGAATTTGATATCTAAAATTTATAATAAGTTTTAAAAAAATTATTCCTTGCAACAATAAATTTTAAATTAAAACTTTATAAAGGTGCGGTCACATTTCATATATATGTCCGATTTACGGCAAGTAATACATTATCTTAAAAGTGTACATGGGAAAATAATTCCAATTTGTCAAAATAAGAAAAATAATAAGGTAATTTCCAGGGTCGGTATCGCAATTACTTCTATCTTAAATACAGGATACCTTTGTTTCTCGTATATTTCTGTAAATTTTGAAAATCTGTAGCACAAATAAGTATATGTATCTAGATTACATTTTTTTAAAAAAAAATTAGCCCACTCAGTAATTTTTATCTTACTAAATAACTAATTCTTGGCACTACTTTCGATTTTCGTTAAGTCCTGCTGAGAACCGTAAACTAAAACTCGGGAAAAATTATCATTTCTAGAAGTTTTGTAGTTTAAAGCAGCCTAATATTAAAATGATTGGCAGTGAGCCAATTTTTTTTAGTAGTTTCAACCAATCCGAGATATCAGATTCTAATTATTTTTTTTATTGGACTCTTTTAAAAAGTACAACAACTTCAGGGGATATTAGAAAAATTATGCCCGTTGTAAGAAAATAAACAATTACGTTGTTTATTCTTTATAAAAAAAAAAAGATTAAGAAAAACAAATATATTTTAAGAATTTGTAGATGTCGAAATGCGGGTTCAAATTTAATTTTTAAAATAAAGGTATCCGACGTCAGAGAAAATGGCTGTCCGGGCCTAAACGACCCAAATTCAGTCAGACCGGTCAGTGCAGGGCTCTAGTATGAGATAGTCAAAGATAATGGCCCCTTTCGGGAGATCTACATTTAATTTGAAAGTATGATCAAGGGGGATATGCGAGGCATCCATCATAATTAGGTGCAGTCCTACAAAGTTCAGAACTTCAAGTGTTTTGAAGCATGATAATTTATCATCAGATGATGGGAATTGACTGTCGTCAGTTATTACGAATTTCATTTCAAATTTAATTAGAAACACAGTTCAAATTGGCATTTACCTTCGTATAAGAATTTTGAGGTAAAATAAGGTTAAACATAATTTAATCAAATAATTTAATAAAGTGGCCCAATAATGGTTTCTTTTTTTTCTTTCTTTCTTGTAAAGCTTGCTTCAAAAATATAACTTTATAGGAGTCTAACATTTTGCCCTGAGTTAGGGTTGCATTAGAGCCCTGGAAAATCAATTTTTTCGGCCCGAAGCTCAGTGATAAATTTTTTTATAGGTCTCTCATTATAATGCGAGTATAATCACCCTGCTAACATACCATATAGGGTGAAAGTCAACGAAGATACTCCTCTAGTGTTGGAAGCGTAACATTTGTAAAGCCCGAAGTCCTCGTTTTGGACCTCTATTATGTTTAATCGAGACACCGTTATATCATGCCCACTACTATCGGGATAGTACGTAACCTAGTATTTAATTTAAAGAAAAAATTATTTCGTTAAACCAGATATAAATATTGAAATAAGTTGAACTTTTGTTATATCAAGAACTTTATTATCATCTATATATATATCAAATCATCTATACATTTTATTATCAACATCAATATTATATCAAATCGACAATACATCTTGTAAAAATTACCCCCAAAAATCATCGTGTCCAAAGATAAAGCTTCTTCAGACATGTGACCTATTTTTCTAACAAAATCTAACTTCAAAAGATCACTTTTGATTGACATTTCATATATATCACCTTTTCCTGAAAAATGATGCTTAGAAAATTGGGAAAACTTTAAGCGTGTAATGAGAGAGAAGCATTAGTGATAATTTACCCCTCAAAATGGTAAACAAAACTCCAGAGATTATTAAAATCGTTACCAGGCAAAAACCTATCGCTATGATGACCTGGTTTTTATCAGTAGCCTCCTATTTTATGTTTTAGCTTCATGCAGAAAAAATTTTTAAAGATATAAATATTTTTTTAAAAAAAAGGTGCAGATTTTAACTCTTATATAATTTTTAATAAATAATACAAAATATGTTTAGACACTAGTGTTGTTAAAGGGCTCGTTTTGATCTGATTTTTAAAAAACGGCTAACTGAATATTTTAGCCAAAAAAAATATTGCCTAAGCCTCGAGATTTTGCTAATAGATGTTCCAAACCTTCGTTCCTTCTACAATCAAAATCTTCAGGCTTGCGGTAAGATTATTCTAGATGAAATATCGAGTTTACCGTTTTTAAAAAATCGGCTCAAAACGAGCCGTTCAACAACACTAGCTTAGACTAATATTTAAAATATTTGATAATTTGCGTGCATTTTTATCAATAGTTAAAATTACTTAAATCTAATAGTTTTAATGGGGCAAATCTTGCATTTATTTTCGACACTCTTATAACAAAGTTCCTTAAAAAAAAATTCGTATTTAATATTAATTCAAAAAAATTTTTTATAATCTAATCCAAAAGGGTTAAAACTTGATAAATTTAAAAAAAAAATATCGAATCTTAATATAAAAATTTGAGTTGAAGTATATCCAATTTTAAAATGGGAGTTGCAGTTAGCTATGCCCCACTCAAACAACCCGCCCTACTTTACCTTTAACAAAGTGTTGTTAACGGTTCGGTTTGAGCCGGTTTTTTAAAAACGACTAACTCAATGTTTTAATCGGAAAAATTATTATGCAAGCCCTAAAGATTTTGCTCGTAGATGGACACAAAGGTTTGGACATTTATTTAGCAAAATCTCGAGTCTTAGGCAATATTTTACCGGCTAAAATACTGAGTTTAGCCATTTTTATCTCTCAATATTATATAAAGAGGTTTAGACTAATCAAATATTTAAATTCGATTTTTTATCCTAGGCATTCTATTCATACACGAACCTCGTAGTTGTGATTATTCTCGATTACGATCTCCGCTCCGCTTCCACCCCTCTCTACCTTGGCCCACCAGGTATGGGGTGCGGGAAAGGCCTCTATGAAGCACTCGAGGGCCGCGTTCACCCTCATGTTGGGAGCTTGTCCAACGTTCCTCTTGACATTCCTAGATGGGGGTATAGATGGCGCAAATTCGACGTTAATCGTGACCGAACGTCTACTTAAGCCATCGGCGTTTTGGCTTTTATAAGTGGAAAAAAATAAGAATTTTTTTTTAGAAAATATTTATTTTATTTTTTTTTTACCCAGAGTCGAATTTATCGTTGCTATGGTAACTTATGCTATTCATGACGTAGTCGTTATCGGCCACACATATATACCTCCCCCTATCGGCTTTAGTTATATTCTTTATGAGCATTACGTTACCACGATATATAGCGTCCCCTATTAAAAAAAATAATAAAATGATAATGATCGTATCAATAAAATATCGTATTTTTTGCGCATTTTAACGCAGTTTTAACCATAAAATATATTTTTTACAACAAAAAAAATTTGTATGATTGACAAAGATAACTAAATTAAAAGTTATCAAAAAAAAATCCCGAAAATAAAAATATTTATGAAATTCGTTAAATTTAAGAAATTTGATTTAAAATCCTCAATATCTAAAAAAATAAAATGGCCCCTTAAAAGTGAATTAAACTTGGTTCAACTTGTTTTGGCTAAACAACTATTGCACTAGGAGACAGCCTATTTTGGCGTTTTAAAAGTATTTAGTAAGATTGTTATTTTTCATATATTATCTCACTTATTTAGGATGTTTAGTCGAAGCTTAGTTGGCTTTCAGGATTTTAAGCTAATACAGTTTTCTAAAAGCTTCAGGGGTTTTAGGAACCCAGCTATGTTTATCGAGGGTTTATGTTATTTATAAAAAAAGAAGTATTAAAATAAAATAAAGAACCAAGCCAACCAATCATATAATTAAAAATGAGTGAGCTAAAAAATTTGAAATAAATGGATGGGTGGGTTGAATTATACATTTTTTAAAAAAAACTAAGACCATGAACTAATTCACATGAGTCTTGATTATGTTAATTAGCTAAGTCCGCCAAATGGCCAGATCCCCAATCATTTATTCAATAAAAACTCATGAAACTTTGCAGAAACATAGTTTAAAATCGATTAGGAGGGGAAAAACCCTAAGGTCAAAATATTGGCAGGTTTCTTAGCAGCAACAATTTTAAAAAATCTTTAAGAGTTAAGTTGGGAAAATTATTACAACTCTCCAAATAATTCAAACTAATTGGGTTTATTTTGTTGTGTCAGAGTATACGAGTAAATAAAACATTTATTTAGAACAAATTTGTAATCCATAGCAATTTCAAATAATAAACCATTAGGCAAGGGTTGTATATCAGCCCTTTTCCAAGATATTCTGGGTTGAGGGTAACCGGTGGCATTGCATTTCAATAATACATCAGAACCTTCATTGACAACCATGTCCTTTGAGATGTCTTCTCCAATCATGGGGTGAGCTTAGAAAAATATAAAATATATTGAATAAACTTGTACAAATTGCAGCCTAGCCCATAATAAATTTTTTAAGCCCAGACCCCAAGGTTCCCAGCCCTACCAATTAAAGCAACTTGTATGATCTAACTATTATCATATATGGTTACATATATGGTCATGTTAAAAAAAGTTTTTATAAATTTATTTTATTTTACTTCTAACCCTCAACTCAATGGCCATTGATATGGGTTTTTTTAAAGAAGTAATTTGACAGGTAACATTCCCAAAGTCATCATTGATTACATGATCTATGTATAGTTTATAGATGTAGGCTTGTGATTGACTTGGTTTATTAAAGTCATGCTCTAGCTTTGAGGTAAATCTGTTATCAGCAGTTATTCGGGTATTGCCTAAGGTCAATAACTTGGGACTTTGATTTTTTCTTAATAGAGTCCACGATATCTTTGTATTTTATTGGATATATTTATATATGGGATGAAAATACTAGTAAACATATTTTATTTTATTAATAGAATATGATATGATGAGCATAGATTCTACAAGATTTATTTTCAAGAAATTAGCAAAATAATTTAAGTATATAACATTTATTATTTTTTAAATATAATATACATTACAAAATACCTATTTTATTAGAATTTTTAATGATAAAAAATAACTCTTCGTATTTAAAAACAAGATATAATAATATCAGTATTCAGGTTTATTTTTTTCATAAAGCATATTGTTAATAAATATTTGGCAATTCAAAGTACCGTATCATTTATATAATTTTGTAACCAGCAAGAAAATTCAATGTTTTGACCTTGATCAACAATTTTTGTTTTATCCACTCTAACAATTATTGGGCTTAAATACTGGGCCCAGTTTTGTGCTAAATTTAATTTAAATAATCATGTAAGAGCAGTGATTATTTTAATACCAATGATCTGAAATAAGAGAAATATGATAACAGGTGTCATTCCAGGTTAAAGATATGAATGAATGGTAAACTCAAAACCGTTGAACAATTACATAATATTTTTTAACATCTATTTAAGTTTGTTAGTGCTAAATCAAGAAACATCAGAAATTAACTATATTTAATAATACCCTGTATGTAATACGCATTTATTATATTTCTAAATATATGCAAATTTAAATATAAAAATTATTCAGCCATTTAACTTCAAGTAAAAAATATATAACTAGAGATAGTAAGTCAATAAGCCAGAGAAAGAAATATAGTCAAAACAATTTTAACGATCTATTTATTTATAAGATTTTATCATATAAATCTATATCCACTTGATTGTATTGTTTAAGTTATGTCTAGCTAAATTTCAATAATTAAATCCAAATTGGGTTCAGCGATTTAGTTTGCCCACATAATTAATTAAATTAACGCTAATATTTATTTCTATGTCAAACTATATATAATTTATCAATTTTTAAATAAATTAAATTTGGCACTCTTTTAAAGTAAGTTTATAGACATCCTCATATCACGTTTTTTTTCCATGGGATCTAGAATTTTTAATCAACTTGGAAAATTAGGTATCACAAAAATTATTTATGCTTTTAGAAAATAATTATTTATTTAACAATAGTTACTATTTTTAAAATGGTAAAGCCATTACGAAAATAAGATTTATTATATATGCTAATCATCTTACTTTTTAAGTAATATATTATGTAAGTTAGTAGTTATATTTAAGTAATTTTATTTCATGTTAAAAAACTAAAATACTTATTTAAAAAAATAAAATAATTATTCTGTTTTGGAATGAGTTAGCTTAATTTATTTTATTCTATATGGGGATATGCGATAATATATTTTCCCATTTATTTTAATTATAAGATAATTTTTGTTAATGTGTTTTATAGCTTGTAATTATTATATATTTTTAAGGTATTACCTTAGCCATTGCAGGTGGGGTAGCAAATTCAGCTCTGTATAATGTGGATGGGGGTCAAAGGGCAGTTATTTTTGATCGTTTTGCAGGAGTCAAGCTAAATGTAATTGGAGAAGGCACCCATTTTTTAATTCCTTGGCTGCAAAGACCTATATTATTTGACATCAGGTTTGCCAATGTTATAAATATTTTATCTTAATTGTACTTTTCTTATATCTGGTAAATCTATACTATTATACATTCAATATTTTATTACTGATTAAAACTAAAACTGATTTTTACATTTTTCTGCCAAATTTCTATCCATATCTTACTTATTTTGCATGGGTAAAGTTAAAGTCAATAAATAATATAGTTCTTGTATCAAAAATTATAAATATTTATTTTTTTATAAAAAATATGATCTTGTTTAGATTTTATTTTATAAAAAGTATCTGCTATGATATTTCTAATTAATAATTTGTAAATATTTAAAATCATCACCTCTGAGAAATGTTGACCTAATCAGTGTATAATAAAGACCAATCAAAGGCTGTGTTTTATTAAATAGATTCTCTATTGTTTTTGATAATTTTGATTTGAGTGCTTTCTTACATTTTACTGATGTTTTAAATGATTTTTTATCAAATTTTTCTAGATATCTTGAGCTTGATCATAAAAGAATCCCAAATAATGAACATTTTGTTTTAAAATAAATAGCGAGCCTTATATATTGCATACATAATACAATTTAATCTTAAAATTTATATATTTACTAATTAATTTGTGTATAATGGTTTAAATATATGTCAAATATATATATATTTCATATAGAATGACTATGATATCCAAAACAATTTACTTGCTACTTAATGTTTTAAAAATAATGTAAGGAAGAAAAAAACTATATTTATGCATTATGAAATTTTTTAAAACCTATTAAAATCGGTATCTTATCAGTTCTATGGATAAAATTTGACACCCTTTTGTACGTAAATAATTTGAACAGAATATATTTTTTAATGCAAATGAAGAATTGAGAATAGGAAATTACATCTAAATTCAAAGTTTTAGAGAAAATGATTGCCTAAATTTTGTTATTGAATTGATTAACAAGATGAGTTCTTCAAATGTTGATAGATTGAACAATTTGGACAAACATTTAGTTAAGAGTAAATTCAAAAAATAGCCTGTTGCCAGCTGATTAATGACACCTCAAGTATTTTAATGAATGAATTGTTCAGTCTAGGTAATTATTATATGTTATTGGTCCCTATATGAATCATACAACCAACAAAGTATTCCTTCCTCCATGAACACACATTACTCTTTTACGTTTTAAGCAAGGATAGTTTATTTTTAAATTAAATTTTTATTTCCACAAAATTATTAATTATATATAAATATATTTAATTGTTAAATTCTAATCAAATATTGTATTTTACCTTTTTGATGGGTTTAAAAAAATATATTAATTCTTTTTCAACAGCCCAAAAATATTATCAATAAAAATAATCAAAATGATAAAGAAAATCTGGAAAAACGTCAACTGTTTTATTTCGTTTATATATATATATCTACTATAAAATAAATATTAATAAAACATATTAATCACAAATAAAATGACTTTCATTATCATAAAAATGACTCCACACTTTACATAAAAAAATGAACTCAAGTATTCTACCTTAAAGACCATCCAGATTCGTAGATCTGTTATCAAGACAATTTTTTTGTGAATTTCATGAGAAATTTCTGGAAGTTTTTTTTTGGGGCCCTTCCTTGACGTCTACCATTAAAGAATAGAATAAGTACATTCTGATCAGCTCTTGAAAATTAGTCGCTCTTATTTTAATATTATTTAATGAACATTTCCATGCCAATTCTAAAACATTTATGGCAAGAAAATATATTTATTTGTATAACATATTTGATTAATGTCTGTTTAAACTTTGCTGTTTGGGTCATTCCACCACATCAAATCAAACGCCCTCTAGTTTCGTATAATCGATTCGGATAAAAATTAGCTCGAAGATCTAAATGAGTTTGCTCAGAAACTAAGTTCGAAACTCGTTACCTTTTTTATTACCCGAAATATTCAAGATGTCAAAACGCCATTTTTTTTACCTCTTGATTTTAAATAATTTATTGGTTTTAAAACTAATCGATTTGTTCGAATATTTCTATTCGGTATATATGACTAAATATAAAAAATTGAACATTGGAGGGGAAAAACAAAAATAAAAAATTCTGTTATGCGTGGTGCCATCTTTTATTTAGTTTAAAGTTAAAAAAATTTTTATAATGGCTAAAAGTTCCCATTTTTAGCAATATATTTTTTTTTCCTAGTGTGTTTAAATAATTTGAGCGGCAAAAAAAAGGAAATATGGCTAAAATATTAAAGATGGCGCTACGTTTTAATGGCCTGAAGACTCTTTTTTATTATTTTATAACATAAGGGCTCAATCGATTTGTAGGTAATATCCAATGACATATAATAATGCCTAGACTGACACGTTCATAATAATGCACTTGAAAGCGTCGTTGAATGCAAATCAGCTGGACCCACCATTTTGCTAACCTATATAGTAATTATTCTCATTTTAAAAGCTACAGAGTTGTTAAAAGATCTAGATACAAGTATCTAGATCCTGTATCTAGATATAAAAATGTGGTATCTGTATCTAGATAGATTTTTGATTAAAATATCGGTATCTAGATATTATTTTAGACGATGTATCTGTATCTAGATCCATTTAAAAAGTATCTTTTAACAACTCTGAAAAACTACCATTAAATCGACAACTTGTTTTTCCTTATTATCTTGATGATCAGGCAATTTTTTAATAAAGTTTTGCGTCAGACATAGGAATAAATTGGCCTCTCGGTTAAAAATTTTTCAATAATTATATGGGTAATCAAAATGGCGTCCCCAGCTGTTTTCATTTAGTATACACTTTTACTAGATATTATTATATGTCATTGGTAATATCACGAAAAAAAAATGTCATTTTTGATTTTCTCCCCTAATTATCGATCATTTTTGAATAATTAAATTGATTAATTATTTAAAATTCCCAAAATAATGTAAAAATGGCGTTTTTATACCTTTTGACCCTAAATATCTCGGGTAATGTCAAAAGCTAGCTTGAAATTTTGTTTCCTTTCTAAACTATAACTCAATTTTTAATCTTCATACTTATTTTTTATCGGATACGTAATTTGAGGCCGAAAATGCCCCCCTTTTTCGTCGATTTTTTTTTATTACTAGTAAAAAAATTGAGCGAAAACGCACGCAGGCGTGCCCGGTCCCAATGTTTGCTTTAGGAGGCGTCCGGTCTTGCGTTCCTTCCGTCCCAAGAAATCAGGCCTAGAGCGCGTCGTTCCTAAAAAAAACCGAACCAGGGACGGATGGTTTTCCTTCACATTCTCTGACACCGACTCTGGATTGCCCTTTTAAACTTCTTATTGACAGTTCTAACACGCTTCCGCTCCCCCTGGCACGTTGCGGAAGAGAGGAAAGATTTTTTGGGGAGGGAGGCATCATTTCATTCTACAATAATATTATTATTATATAAATGTATATATATATCTAACGATGATAAGGTCGAAACCTAGGAATGTCCCCGTTGTAACTGGTAGTAAGGACCTCCAAAACGTTAGCATAACTTTGAGGATACTCTTCAGACCTATACCCGAACGGTTACCCGAAATTTACAAGAATTTGGGCGTCGATTACGAGGAGAGGGTTCTGCCATCCATTACTAACGAGGTATTTCTTTCATTTTATAAAAACAAGCCTAACTCCAGCCGACTCCATAGCGGCTTGCCGCGTTCTAAGTAATGTTGTTAAACGGCTCGATTTGAACCGGTTTTTTAAAAACGCAAGCCCGAAGATTTTGCCTATAGATGGCACAAAGATGCCGATTTCGAGGATAACCAATCTCATTAAGGATGAACGTTGCATAATTTTAATATTAATTAGTTCTTGTGAGATAACCTTTAAACTTTTTTTGCTATATATATTCACAAATTTTAATTTAAAACGTTGAATTTAACATAAAATTTTCTAATTTTTAAAATCATGCTGACGCATGCGCATCAGAAATCTTGGCCTTTTTAAAAAAAAAAAATATTTCTATATTTTTTTAATAATTGCGGTCCGGACAGACAAATAATTTTATATTTTAACGAGCGGGACATTTCGAAGTTTTCTTGGGCCGGGCAATTTAAAAAAAAAAAATTTAAGGCCACACCCGGCTTGAAAATTAGGCCTGGTGCAAGATCAAATGTGCCCTATAGGAACAGTAATTTTTAGAGACCTTTAAAGAATTTTTTTTAATATATCGACTACAATGAGTTAGAAATTGACCTTTAAATGATTATTTTGGCACCTGCCTATTACCCCGTTCTTAACGTCGCTCAAAATGAAGTGAGCGCCTACTTGGCTTTTTTTTATAGTTTAATAAATTTTTGATTTCAAAAATTTTTCAAATTACGAAAGTTAAATCCATTGCGGATGGTGGACGGATGATAGAAATTTTTGTTAAAGTTCTTAGGGAAATTGATTGTTAAAATATTTAATATAAATTTTCACACTTTGGAACGTCGTTAAATTTAGGTATATTTTGTTTTCTAACGAATAAAGTGTACGTCTAGGAAAATGACGAATGAGCTAAATCACGTGATTTGACAATATGATTGGTAGTTAAGGCAAATCGTTGAATGCGCGTCAAGTCTAACTGACAAATTTTTTTTGAATATACTGTTAAAACAACCTTATATTTTATTATTAATCAACACCCTTTTTAATATATATATATATTTATGTTTTGTTTCTTTTTTTTTGTTTTTACTTACTTCAAATTTAACGCAGTAGTCTTTATGTTTTTTCCTTATTTTTTTTCTTTTCAAAACAACAAGTACAAAAAAAATATAATTAATTCATCCTTGACAATACCAAATATAATAAGTATTTGTATTAAGATACTATATCTATATTTATTTTAGATAGATTTTGATATCATTTTATTTATACGTTTTTTTTAAATACTAAAAATAATAAAGTGTGAATTAAATTTATTATATGTTATGTCCGTAAAGATTTTGTGTTATTATTAAAATCTAACAAATATGCGCTTATTTTTTCCCCTAGGTCCTCAAAGCTGTAGTTGCCCAATTCAACGCTAGCGAGCTTATAACCCAAAGGGAACTGGTTTCCGGGGCAGTTAATACCGAACTCACCACCCGTGCCGCTCGGTTCGGTCTCGTGTTGGACGACATCTCTCTCACGCATTTGACGTTCGGTCGAGAGTTCACCGAAGCCGTTGAACTTAAACAAGTAAACCACGAAGGGTTGAAAATGGAAGGAAAGGGAATGGCGTCCTTAAATAAAAAAAACTATCAGTTGTATAATAAGCGTTTTTATATATGGTCGGTTGCGCTACAAGCGCTCGCCGCGGCGATTTCTTTGAGAAGATACCCTCCCTTTGCGTGTACGTTTTTGTAGATTTAGTTAAGCACTCATAACCCATGAAGTGCCTATAATCATGTAGCTAAATATTTTATTTTCGAGAATTCGCAACGCAACCAACGATGTATTTAATGCTATATCTCAAATATTCGAAAAATATGACACTTTTCAGCTAAAATTTTTATTTGATTTGACGCCATTTTAATATTTAAGATTAAAATCGTGTTATTTTAAACTTTTTTGACCCATTTTTTTAGCGGTTTGAATTGCGGCTCTTCTTTTGTACGAGGCCTAAACAATGATGGATTTTAATTTAAAAAAAATTATGATAATTATTCGAATAAGTAATTAAACGCCTTGAAAAATCGAACATTATTAAACCAATCAAATCAGTATGTTGAATAAGTGAAATGAGGCTGGAAGGAGAAGCTAATTGAAATAACGACAATATTTTTTTTTCTTAAACGTCCAGGTAGCGCAACAGGAAGCGGAACGAGCTCGATTCCGCGTGGAGAAAGCGGAGCAAACTAAGAAGGCGGCCGTTATAGCTGCGGAGGGCGACAGTCACGCCGCGACACTTCTCGCCAAAGCTATCGCGCAGAGTGGGGAGGCCATAATCGAGTTGCGGAAAATGGAGGCCGCCGAAGATATTGCGTATCAATTGAGCCAGTCCAGGGGTGTCTCCTATCTACCCTCTGGAAATGCGGGGACCACTAATAGTGGAATCGGATATCTCTTGAATTTACCGGCATAGGATCGATTGGACCCCATTTTTATTATTCCTGTTCTAAGGATAAACGTGGATCATTTTTTGAAACTTTATTTTAATAATTTCTAAGGTTTTTTATAAATCTTTTGTAAATCACACTTGAATTCTGCTTTAGTTAATTTTTTTTTGGACAAATTAATTTGTGATAGAAAATCTATAATAACTTTTGATCTCCTGTTTAAGAAAAAAAGTTATATAAGTAACCTTGAATTTTTATATTCATCACTAAATTCCCCACATTGAAAGTATTCAATTTCTTCTATTATTTTTTTTGATATTTAGGCAGCATTCATAGTGGGATCTTATCCGACACGATTTAACAGCTGACCGATTTTTAAATCGGTTTATGAGAATCAATTTTTCTTTATTAAAACCAATATTTATTAGGTTATTATCATGTATAGAATTAAAGATAAAATTAATATTATTTTAAAAAATTGATCTCATTAACAGATTTTAAAAAACAATCAGCTGTGTCGGATCGGATCCCACTATTAATGCCGCCTTAATCTTCATTTTTGCCATTATATTTATATCGTAAAAATCGAGGCAAAATTTTTTTCAAAGCAAATTCTTGCAATATTGTATTTTTAATTTTTTTTTTCAAAAAAACTTGTTTTATTTTTTTTCTGCATCATTTTATATATTTCATTTACATCCGTTCGAATTTATTTTATGATTATTTCCTTGTCATCTTTTTTTCAATTATTTCAAAAAAAATTTATGAAAATCATGTAAGCATATATATTTTTTCCCACGTTTTTTTTATATATACATATCGAGATCGACTAATTATGTAATAATCATTTAAAAAATTGAACATATACGGAATAATTTCATATTATCTTTTTTGATATTTTATTATAAAAAACGATTGAGATGATTTGTAGAAATCCGAAGTATTAATTTAATTTTTAAGGAGTGCCTTATGAGTAATTTTGTAAAGTTGCTACATCATTTAAAAGTAACGGGTTTTCGTTTTTATATATTTTTTTAGGATAATAATCAAATTTGATTAACTCATAAAATTTATTAAAAATAACAAGCATGGGTAAATATTATATTTTTTAGCCGTTTAAGCCAGCGGGCTAGACCAAGTTTTTAGTCGAAAACTATCACTAAAATTTCTCGGGCTCGGGTCGGGTTGTAAAAGCTGTCCGACCCGAAAATAAATATAATAATATTAATATCTTAAATAGTCACTATAATTTATAATATTAATTATAAAATTATATTATTTAATATTTATCACATTTAGGATTAAAATGTCAATCATATTAACATGTCATTATTAATTATTATTTTATAAACCTAACAACAGGCCAAACTATTTTATCACTAAATTGTGTGTTTCTCGTGAATTACAAGATAAGACATATTTTATGTAAGTTTTATTTATTATTTATCTAGCCTATACATTGTCTTTTTTAACATTTGTTTTAACCCTTCACTACAAAGGTGGAAAAAACTCCCTTAACTACAAAGGTGAGGTCTATTTTACCCCAAATTTTGATTAGCTATATCTCAGAACATATTAAAAATTGAGATCTAAAATTTTGAGTATATATTTAAAAAATATTGGAGATAATAAATACAAAATCTTAGATTAATATTTACTTCCAAAAAAAGTTAGACAAATTTTTCTAAAGTTACTGAAGTAAAATTTTCTTTTTGAGTACTTCCTTTAATTATGGTATTATCACTAAATAAAATTCAAAAAATGCAAATTTTATTAAATATTTTTTTAAATCAATGTTGAATAATGATAATTACATAAATTTTATAAAAAAATATCATATAGCAAAAAAATTATTAATCATGTATAATTTTAAGATAATTTCTGGTCTTAACAATTCACCAGTTGTTATCAATTTTATTATCATAATCGGTGAATCATTTATGAATTTCTTTTATATGTTAAAAGTTACTTTAAACATATAGTTGATAAATCATCTATTTTATATAAATGATTGCAACTTATTACCTAAAATGCCACTTTTACAGGCACATTTCATTGTTATAGTAGATATTGCAGTTAATATTTTAATAAATTTTAATAATCAATGTTTTGATAATAGATATTTACAAAATAACTTGCATTGAATTCTTTAACGCCCTCTATATTTTTAATAAAAATATAATTAAAATTAAAAAACTTATGATTCATTGTACAGTGGATGCAATCATTATTAGATATCTTTTTTTTACGTTTTTTCAGGAAATTTTTTTTTCTTCTTTGAAAAACAGTTTTTAATTATATTTATAATACGAGTATATTTATGATATTATTATATAGTGTTGTTAAACAGCTCGTTTTTTTTATAGTCAAAACAATAGCTCCTTTATTATAAACTTGTTTCATATATATAGTCTTTTATAATTATGTCATTTAACTTGTATTAATGTGCAATTACAATGACCTCGATAAGATAATATTAAATGTAATAAAGTTATAATTCAAATAGCGTAATATAAACATTCAAATATAACATATCTTTTTTTCCACCAAGTTAAGATCGTCTATCAATCTTTTTATTACCAAGTTCAAGTTCATCTATTAATCTTTTTGTTGGCTTTCGATCCCTTGTTGACCGTGGTTGCCTTCCTTTTTGACTTGGTTCAATTGGTATTATTGATTTGGTTTCGCCTGGTTCTTCCCTTATTCGTAGTTGATCTGCGTGTTTTGGTACTATTTTATCTTTTTCTTTTACGTTATACGAGAATTTTGCTTGTTGATTTATTATTTTTCCTTTATGCCATCATTTTTCAAGTGGATTTTTTATCCAAACTAATTCGTTTTCTCCAAAATTTCAATGTATGCCTTTGTTTAATTGGTCGTATTTTACTACAGAGGTTTCTAATTTTTCAGTAATTGATGGTTTCACCCAGTCTAATAAAGTATTTAGTCTTCTCCCCATAAATAGTTTGGCAGGTATTCGGCCCGTTGAGGAATGTTCGGAATTTCTATATGTAACCAATACTTCATTAAGGCATTTTTCCCCATCATTTGTTTGTTCTCTATTAGCGAAATACCGATTTTTTATAGTTTGTATGCATCTTTCAACTAATTACTTTTCGGATGGTATGGTGTAGTTTTTATGTGTTGTATATTCTTATTTTTGCACCATTTGTAAAATTCATTTGAAATGAATTGTGGACCATTGTCTGTGACAATTTGACGTGGAACACCATATCGTGTAAGCCATTTTTCTATATTTATTTTTTTACTTGTGGTATCTTTGATTCTATCGATCTCTATCCATTTTGAATATGCATCGATTCCTACCAGCCAATAAAATCCGTCTAGTGGTCCGGCAAAATCTAAATTTACCCTTTCCCAAGGTTGTGCTGGCGGATTCCATGGGTATACGGCAACTTCTGGTATATCTCTGCGATGTTTTTGACATCCAATACAGCGATTGACTAATTTTTCGACGTCTTTATCTAATTTTTCCCACCATATATAATGTCTCGTAATGGATTTCATCGATGTAATACCGGGATGACCTGTATGTAATATTTGTAAAACTCGTTTTTGTAGTGAATATGGAATTATTAAGCGACCATTCCAAAATAGGATACCATCATCATTTTCTATTTCATCTATTCTTGTTCTAAAAGCTTGTAATTCTGGTGCTTGATTTTGTATATTTGTACCATTTAATAATATTTTTACTCTTCTTAAAATTGGATCTTTAGCAGTTTCATCTCTAAGTTCTTTTCTTGATAGAGTTATGTGTCAAAAGTAAGATTTCGTATATATTTCACTGTTTTATTTTCACTTGTTATTTTATTATCATTTTTCTCTATTGGGTTTCGTGATAAAGCATCTGCAATTATATTACTTGCGCCATTCTTATACATTATTTTATAATCATATGCAGATAATTTATATGCCCAACGTAACAATCTTTGGTTTGTTAAGGCGTTTAAATCTCTGTTATCTCCATATATTTTTATTAAAGGTTTGTGGTCCGTTCGTATTTTAAATTTTCGTCCATATAAATAGTTATGAAATTTTTCTACGCCGTTTACTATGGCTTTTGCTTCTTTACGATTGTCGAATAATTCTTTTCAGCATCTTGTAAAGTTCTCGAGGTGTAAGCTATTGGGTATTCGTTACCATTATCATATTTTTGCAAAAGTACAGCTCCAAATCCTTGGTTTGATGCATCTGTTTCTAGTATTAACTCAAGATCCAGTTTATAAAATTGTATAGTATTGTGTTCTGTTACTATTCCTTTTGCTTTTTCAAATAATGCATCATCTTTATTAGTCCAATTCCATTTAACATTTTTACTAGTTTTATTATGTAATTCGGCTATGATTCCATGTAAGTTTGCTATGAACCGTGTATAATAGTTTAATATACCTAAAAATGATTTTATGTCATGTCTATCTTTTGGCGTTGGATATTTTTGTATTGCTATTATTTTATTTTTATCCGGGTGTATTCCATTTTGATCTATTATGTATCCTAAATATGATACTTTTTCTTAAAATTTATTTTGCTTGTTTTGACTTTTAATCCCGCATTTTGTAATTTTTTAAGGACTTGCTTTATATTCTCAATATGTTCATTATCATTTTTTCCTGTGATTATAACATCATCTAAATAAACTGCTCTATCTTTACAAGCAGCCAGTAAATCGTCTATATATCGTTGAAATATTATTGGTGCTGTAGCTATACCAAAAGGTAATCGTAAATAGCGGTAGTATCCATTTGGTGTTACCATTGTTAATAATTCTTGCGATTCATCGTCAATGCTCATTTGTAGGTGTGCATCTTTGAGATCTAATGTTGTATATTTATTTCCATTTGCTATTTTTGCTATTAATTCTTCAAACGTTGGTAGAATGTGATAGTCTTTTAATAGAAATTTATTTAACGTTACTTTAAAATCTCCACATATTCGTAGTTCGCCTGAAGTTTTACGTACCACTACCATTGGAGTACTCCAGGTTATTCTTGTTGTCGATGGATCTATTTTCTTGATTATATTATTTTCTTCCAAACGTTTCAGTTCATTTTCAATTTCTACTTTTAAAGGCAACGGTACTCTTCTAGCTGGCAGTGCAATTGGTTTTGTATTTTCTTCCAATTGTAGTTTTACTGGTTCGACATTTTTTATTAATCCTAATTTATTATCAAACACAGTAGCAAATTCTTTATACAGTTTGTCTATATTTACGTTACCATTATCATTGTATTTATATCTATTGTTGATCATATTGATTTTTACATTTTTTGGTAACGATAGGTCAAATTCGATAATCCATGGAAATCCAAATAGAGCTGCATCATTTGTTTGTGTGACCAATAATGGAAGCCATTTTATGTTATTATTTAATTGTACTTTCACATTAGCTTCACCCATAATTTTTATTCTATTATTTCCATATGTAGTTGGTGCTTTAGCTCTTCTAAGTTTTGGCTTTTCGATTTTATTCCATATTATTTCATTAATAATGGTTACTGCCGAGCCAGTATCATATTCCATTTTAATTTTTTGGCTGTTTATTAATACGTCAATTGTTGGATGTTGCCCATATTTGTATATTTTTCTTATTGAGACATCCGAATCGTCTTCATTATTGTAATTTGTTCCGTAAATCTTTTCTTTAGTTTTACAACATACGGCGAAGTGGTTTGGTTTCCTGCATTTGTTGCACAATTTTCCGTAGGCGGGACAATTTTTAATAGTATGAAACCGATTACAGAAATAGCATGGTTTTCTCCAATTATTATTATTTGTATGGTAGTTATTATACCCGGGCACTAGTTCTCTTTTTACATATGCTTT